CCCAGGCAGGGGCTGGGGGAGGTGTTTTGGGACTCCCCTGGGAGCACCGGGGGCAGTTGTCTGTGCCACTCACAGCCTTGGGTTGCAAATAGACTTAACAGAGGCAGGAGATGATACTGTCTTGATGTGCACTGATGGCTTGAACAGCTCCTGCGGCCCTTGGCAGGAGGGTTTGCACCCTCGTTCTGCTGTGCCCCAGCAGGTGCCCGTGGCTTTATCCAAAACCCCTGTACTCAGGTTTTCTGTCATCGCAGGACTTCCAGAAACAAGGGAATCCTTCGTGTGTGTGCACACAGGATCCACGTCCAGCTCTGTCCAGTCACACAGCAAAGGAACAGCCTCTGCCTTCCTCCCTCCTCCCCCAAGATTGTGAAATCTCTCCTCCCTTGGCTCGGTGTAGCAGTGAGCAAGGCACTGAGGGTTTATGTTTGTACCAAGTTTTGCTCTTCACTATGGCATTGAATAAATATTCTGCTAAAGCATCTCTGCAATGCGAGTTTGTTTTTCTGAGTGCTGTTCTTCCACTGAAACAGAAACGGGGCCAGAAGCGTCACGCTGCTGTGCCTACGTCTGCTGGGGCACTGCAGAAGTAGCTGGCCAACTTGGAGTTAACCTGCCCGGGGCTGTGGAGTGCAGGCAGAAAGCTGTGCAACAACAGGAGGAGAAGGAGGCAGAGAAGGGCCCAAATCTTCTTTGCCCTGAGGGAGGAGGATGGGACAGCCCTGGGGAAGGGGAGCAACAGTTCGTGGCAGCCTGGGGAAGTTCATGGCAGCCAAGGCTGAGCTCTGCTGTCCAGGGGCTGGAGCATCCTGGCTTCTCCGTGTCCCTCCTCGATTTCTAGTTCTTCCAAGCGCTAACAGACCCTGACCAGGTAAGCGGGGAGCAAGTGCTGGGGCCGGCCCGGTGCTAGGGCTAGGAATGCCTGTGCTGCAGCGGCGTTGTGAGCTGCCTTTTGCCACCTTCCTTCGTGCATCGTGCGGCAGCTGCGCCTGCATGAAGCGGGTCTGGCTGCTCCCTGGAGGGGCCAGCCCCCCCTTGCGTACCCCTCATATTTGTCTCTTCTACAGCCACGCAGGCAGGGGTAGCAGCGCTGCTGCTCCCCAGCAGGGGTTTAGACCCTTGGCTAGTGCTACAGCTCCGGGGGGCAGGGCAGGGGCTCCTGCAGGGGTGGGGGGAGCAGGCCCGGTTCCTG